CTTTTTGTTTTCAGACAGATTTAATCAGATATGATCTTAACTCAACACGAAATTGGGTGTTAGCCTCCGAAGCTGAATTAAAGAACGAACTGGAGGCTGTGAACACAACTCTGATATTGAAGGTTCCTATTACAAACATAACAATCATGTTCGCTTGCTAAGAACTCACTCATTTTTGTTTTCAAGTTCTCCTCTATTACATAATTCATACTCATCAAAAGCTGATTAACATACACAGAATCGGTTTTTGAGTGGGTGTCTAAAATCACTTCAGTTTGTTAGCTTAAGAATGCTCCAAATGTTCGATCGATCAATTTGAAAGTTTAAACGAATCATGACCAAGATACTTTTACGTCTTGGGGACAAGCCACAAGAATTAAACTCAAACTGGAGGGGAGGGGTGGCTTGAAGAGGACAGGGAAGTTCCTACACCTCATTAAGTTTTGTGTTGTGTTCAGCCTTGTTCGTGGCTCATCTACACAGAAGTACAATAAAAGATTGCACTTTAAAAAAGTGATTTTCTTTTACTGAATAAAAAACCCTTCTCTAAATTACGAACACACAATTTAATAGCTCAATAGGATTACTCTTTAGAGCATTCCATTGCAACTGTGTGATAATCGTTATGTTTGTCAGCTCAACAGTACGGCTGAAAGACTTGATCGAGAGGATATCGGTACAATAACTCTACTTAACAACATCAACTCAACATTGTCCTTAAAGGTAACTGAATTTGGCAGTTTAAGTTATTTTAAGCAAACTTTCAATCTGCCTTGAGAGGGCAAAACATCCAAACAGAACCATTACACCTAACGAAGTAAAACACAACATAGACAAAGGGACGCTTGCGCAAAACATTTGTGCACTTTCAAATCGCTGTCTATCTGAATATATACGACAGCAGATGATTGACGAAGCCCGCACTGCTATCTATATTCAACTCAGAGATTAATTCTTACGAGCTCCGATTGTAGTAATGATAATCTCTTTAGTTTTAACAATTGATTAGGGCAAATAAAATTTGTTTTATTGTATCAAAAAAGGTCTTTTTCCGCAGTTAGAGAATGTGAGTAAGATCCCCGTTGGACCACGCGGTTTCAACGGCTCTCAAGGACCGATTGGACCAGCGGGACCTCAGGGATTCAATGGAACACAGGGTTCCCAGGGTTTTAACGGATCACAAGGGCCACAGGGACCCAAAGGAGCTGGAGACTTCTCCCAGTGTGAACATAAAACTGAGGATCTGGTTGGAAATCAATCTCCAATCACCAGCAACAGTATAGCAAATCCAGTTAAAGTGATTAAGGGTGAACCAAGGGTAAGTAGCTTCAAAGGAGAGATTCACGACTATTCGCTTTGTAATCTTGTTGATAACGAGAAGTGTACAGACGTTTGTCAGATTGTTTGGCTTACCTTTACGCAGATGAAAACCTGGGTTACGAAATCCTGGGTGAACCAAGTGTAAGTACAATTAGAAGAAGATATTCAAAACTATTCTTGAAAACAAATTAAAGTGGTTAGGGCTGGTTATCCAACTTGTTTGCCTTGCCTTCATGCCAATAAATTCTTGAGTCTTTCTGAGTCCATCTGACGTATGTGCTAAGATCAAATGTGATAATGGTAAACCAAATGTAATCATGCTCAAAGGAAGATTTCTACATTTATTCCTTTCATGATTTAGCTGATAACAGGATATTTAAGGCTAGTCGCTCGACTGGTTTGCCTCACCTCTCTGTTAATGAACTCATAGGTCTTTGAAGTGACGTCATATGGCGTGATAAGCAATTACTGTGTCATGTATGCTTACACGACTGGACTCTGGTATTTTTCCTTTATTTCATTCCATTTATCCTTCAGCAATAGTCTCCAAAGTAAATGAACAAATTAACCAATTCTTTTAATAAACAGGAACATACAACTGTACTCTAATTTTCATCTGCCGTAAACAACAACAACACTTTTGTCTAATTTAATTCTACACTTCTTTATCAAATTTCGTTAAAATATACCGATATATTGAGCTAAATTAAATTTTCACAAGAATTTATGGGAAACACCAAATTTTTCAAATTAGAGAATAGTCTTGTTTAGTTACATTTTTTATATTCGAGTTCGTTTATTTACCTTTGCAGGGTAAAAAGATCGTTGGTGTCTCATGTTCAACAGACCTTGCGCAGCTTTATCTGCTCTCGACCCAAACAAAACCATCTAATAATCAGTTGTTCTACTACTGTAGCTGTTATGGCCATCATGGAACTGGCCAGGCTTCTATTCAGTGCGTCATGAATTACTGGGAATGTCCGCTGACCACGTGAACACGAAAACGAATGGTGTTTTGACAGGGCGGAAAAAAACTTTGCTATGTCGAAACCTTGCTGTATTACAACGAGTTCTAGATCTGAATTCATACTGATATTGGTAATAACATGATTTCGAGTGTAATATGGTGCTAATTAGCGCAGGTAAACTTTTCAAAGACAGCAAAATTGCGTGAACTCGTAGGGCGAGTGCAATTGGTAGCCTGAAAAATTTTCAAGTGCTTATTTACACCAAATTGCGCAAGAAATCGTGTTTTCACCTATTGATAATTTACATGAAAAAAGAAAAACAAAACAAAGCACGCGCCCGTATTTTAAATTTTTACTTGGTTTACAACTTTGCACTCGTGTTACATGAAAAATGCCTCGTTTCCAGCCAATTAGAAGCGTGTCGTTTTTTCATTTCTATCATTTGTCGTGTCTTTTCCCACGTTTTTGAAACAATTTTTTGAAATTATGATAATTCATTTTTTTTTCTTGGGCCCCCTGCGAGGCGAGTAGGTTGATGCGGAAAGCTGCCGCTTGGTCAGAGCTGTTTCCTCGAAATTGCATTACATTTTCTCTTTGGTAGCATAAATGTTGAACATACATGTCCAATGTAGTTGTAGAAATCAAGTTGTTGTCGATTACATCAAAAGATAGAGGAAAAGAGACCTAAGTTTGTGCCTGGTTTCATGTTTGCTTTGAATGACAAAGCGAGGGATATTTTCCTTTTTCTGATACTCCACATTATTACCATGGAAATACAAAGACAACGTATTCTTAAGAAGTTAAATTGCACTCAATATAAGGAACAAAGTAACAAAGTTTACGAAGTAATTGTTGTCGAAGATAAACGAATATTTCGCTCATTGGAATATTATAAGACAGCCAATCAGTTAGAATGTCGTTTTTTGGCCCACCACCTTTTTTTCCAAAAAACCGATCGTTTCGTATCGAATAATACTCGTCGCACTTTGTAAAAAAGCAAAAAAGTCTGTCTTACATTTTAATAAGAGACCGTCGTTCTTTGTAATTAATTAAGCTGTGTAATAACCTGAGCAAATAGACCCGATAATATCTGTCAATCCTGTAAATAATGATGACGATAATGGCAACGATAATGACAATAATAAAGATGATGACAGTGATAACGATAATTATTCTGATAGCAATAGTACCGGTGGTGATGGAGATGATGATGAGAATGAAAATTGTGATATTGATTATAACGAAAATTAGAAAAGTGAAAATCTGTCCATCAACGAAAACACCAACCGCGAGTCTTGATTTGTCAGGGTACGGGGCAGTATTATTGAAAGTAAACTGAATAACACATGCGTGATCTCTTCTCGACTCGTTGTAACTTATTTTCCAGCTTGCTTTGACACTTACTGGCACGTAAGGGTTCTGGAATATTAAAATTATTAAAACTTAATTAAATTCAGCTTTATTGCTTTTGTTTTACACAGGCTGACAGTTAGCCGGGTTTGTTAGGAAAATAGATATAACAAAATTTTCTTGACGGATGATATGAGACTTGCCTTTTGTTGAATTAGTATGCTAAGCGATGATAATATTTTCTTTGTCGTTGTTAGTAATTATAATTCACATAATGGATGGTTTCTGAAGCATACGGCGTCTAAAAAAAGTCCATTTGTCATTTATTCTCTAAATAGCAATAAAGGAAACCGCCAGCATTTAGTTTCAATTAATTCATTGGACTTCGATGAGTCATCTCTTTTCAGCCAGATGTTCACAGGTGGACATTGAGAGAGCTTCAGTAAAAAAAAAATTAAGTTAAAAGTGCGAGTTTTTATGATTGATAGTATAGCATTTGTAAAGACTATCACAGAAGTTAAAAAAGAGAGATAGAATTCAGATTGAATGGCCCTGATCTAACGAGGAATTGAATTAACAGGCAAAACGGTCTTAAAACATCTTCTTCGTGCAAATCACAATGAACGGATCCTTTTGTGCAGTCATTCTGCAGTATGCCTTCTCTAATTCAGACTTGAAAGAACTGCGGACAACTTTTATCGTAAACTGTGTTTTCAATAATTTCTTTATTTGTACCGCTATCATGTTAAACATTGTTACAATGTACGCGATACGCAGAACGTCATCTTTGCCAAAGACTCGGTTTATTTGTTCAACCTTTATATACTTTCTCTCTGGTCAAGTGGTTGAAACTGGACCGTCCAAGCTGCAACACTTACCAAGTGTGGAATATTTCAAGCAATTTATTTTCAGCTGCTTCGTTCCTTGGCGTTGTAGCTGTAAGTGTCGACAGAGTTTTAGCCGTTCATCTTCATCTCAGATATCAGGAGCTTGTGACTCACAAATGTGTTGTTACTGTGGTGATCTCTATATGGGTGTTGAGTGCATTTATTTCTTTATTGGTATTGTGGAGTTCCTCCGCAACTCAGAATCTTGTTCTTTTAGTTATTGCAGCTACTGGCTTTATTGTCTCCTTTGTGGTGTGCACCAGGATATATTTAACTGTCCGACGCCACAAGAAACAGATTCAGTCCATGCAGATACAAGAAATTGTTTAGGCTGGTGAAAAGGCAAATTTTACCGCGCTTATTAAATCTACAGTTGGTTTATTTTACGTATATCTCGTATTTTTAATTTCGTATTTGCCTTTTTCCATTTGCATTGCTGTTGTTAGAATCTATGGCTCGAGTATCGCTTTCCGGAAAGTTTTTATTTTCTCATGGACTCTGATCTTTCTTAATTCATCTTTGAACCCTGTCATTTACTGCTGGAAGATGAGACACATTCGACGAGCTATCATAGAAATACTTGGAAACTTGTCTTGGAGCAGAAGTCAGCCATCTCGTTTACATTACAATCGGTCTTCAAGGGTTGTCCATGTTGAAAACTGAACTCTCTTTCTATAATTATGTTAAGGACTGTATACAGCTGTTTTCTGTAGAGTAAATAAATCGAGGAGTTTGAGCCTGGTGATATGAGGCAGCGAAAATAATATTGCAGTTTAAATATTTCCGGAATAAGACGTAAGTGAGGAAGGGAAAGAATATTTAACAATTCACTCAGTTAGTCAGTACTTGTGACTCCAAGTAAAAGTGGGATTATCTATATGACATTATGCGTATAAAAGGTATCTTCACTCTTTAAATTAAAAGGGAAGCGGAAGTTTCCCTATGTTTTGTTGATTTACCATGCATTGACTGCAAAATGCTCAAAATGTAAAAATCTCTCTCTGAGCGTAAAATCAAACTGATATCCCATTGACACCAAAGCTTGGACATGTTTCAAAGCTTTTTAATTAATCACGGTTAAAAATTTTATTCTTCATAGGAAATGTTTAGACCGATGTTTGTCGCCTTCAAATTTAGCTCATTGGAAATATGATTTAGTGACTACTTCAAAACCGATGGAAAGCTCAGTTTTAAGTTCTCTATTTCTGATTTTCATTCAATAAAACCTGGTTTAAGTAAATATGTTTTGCTGGTGTGAATGGGGCATAAGAGGAATCTTCCCCGTAAAATTCCCAGAGTAATACTTAATCCTCCACCCCTCCCCCTCTTAAGTGATAAATATTAGCATTTTCCCCTGGAGTTCTGTCGAGTAGGCGCAGTTAATAAATAAGTACGATCGAAAAAGTAATTAATATAAAGCAGCTGTATTTCCGAGCTAAACAACAACGAAGATCAGATTTTACCATGGGGGTAAAAAGATTTACCGACTCAAGGTACTTAAAGGTCCTTCAAGGATGCTTTGCGATAGTGCACTCTTCAAAACCTGTCAAGTCTTCTCCAAACTCGTGTAAGTTTTTATAGTCTTCTACCAAAACACCAAAGAGAGTAGATGAAGAGGTAGGAACGTTTTTGAACGTTTTTTCTTTGAGACCTGATAAGCTTGCACGCTCCTGCGTAATAACTGCCCATGTTAAGTTTATCAAGACGCAAATCCCTAACATATCTTCATTCTTTTTTTTTTTTTTTTTTAAGTGTGGAAACTCTTTACGCTGGGCCATTTTACAGTGTCATCTCAAGGACCTGTAAGCTCTAGGACCAGCTTATCATCAAATATCATGCACTCTTTGATCGGTATTTACCATACGACAAAATGGTCATCAAGATTATTAAGAAGCAGCTCGCTCCAAAGAATTCACGGGAGCTGGAAATTTTTTGGGCCGATTTATTTTGACTGGTGCGGCGTATTATCAAAGGAAAGAGAGAATGTTAACCGACTTCTATATACACTCTAACAAAGTGGTCACCTGCATGATTGAGAGCACTATTAACGCAAGGATCCCGTTTCAAAACGCGAACACGGCTTAAGTAAATAACACTGACTCTCAATTTCTTTAGTTTCCTTCATTATAAACATTATTTTCATATCACAAGCATGTCAATCACAACCTGAGTATCAGGCAAGTTTAACTTAATTGTGATAAACTGTAAAGCTTAAGAGAAACTGGTAGCATCGGTTTAGCCGGGAGAAAACCATTTCCTGTAGTTCGAGAGAATCGGCTATTCATATTCCCATCATTGATAGCATCTCTACAAAGTTAACAATAACCATTTTACTTGTAATAGTTATCAAATGAGTAAAAAGAATTTAGAAGATATAAGTAAATATTGATTTCGTAAGGCGATGAAAGATAGATGATATTCACCTTGTAACGAGCCTGAGACAAAAGAAAAGGAGACAAGTGACATCTTTCTTTGATGGTTATCATTGTTTATGAAAAAACAAAGAAAAAATATTCCTGTGCCTGCAGATATTATTGATTCCATCTTTCATGGTAAACTAATAATACATCTCACGAAAGCGTGATGTCAAGAGTGGTATTTGTATCAGAATGAAAAACATCTTAACCTTAACTTCTTGGTTATGGTGTGACAAAACAGGTAAATATTTATGAAGCTAAGTGTCAAAATGTCTCGAAGGAAAAAAATTGAAATAAATATAGGTTCTAACTCATGTTGAGTGTAGGTTAAGAGGACTCTGGAAATTCAATACATCGTTGAATAAGGCTGCGATTCACGAAATTAGTCAGTTATGATACTAATCAAGCTGAGAACTGACCAGGCACCTCTGGCTTCTATCCTGACAGGCTGTCTGACAGGTGGCTGGCCTCTTTCCAATATTTAAATGGTCGATTTTATTACACACTCATTTGGTGGAAACAAGGGATCTTCAATCCCGCTTTCAAATCAAAGGAACCAATTGAAGGAGTCAAAAAGCCAAACAAACAAACAAAAATAATACAGCTTCCCGTAAGGTACTATATTGGATGCCATACTCACTTTAAGATGCTAAACGACTAAGATAGTTTGATTCTCGAATAACTCAATGGGGATTGCCTCAACAAAAAGTTATGTCCTCTCTTGATAAGATACATTCATAAAAAAACCCTTTCTAGGAAACGACTCTAAAATTTTTTCCGGATAAGACCGATTTTCGATCAGCGATTTTGTATCAATTATGACAAAACGAGATTATTTTTTTCATAGGTAGTTCTGTCATAATGTTTAACCATCTAAATGAACTTTTTGGGGAAATCAAGCGAAGAGGCGTTTAGAAATTTGGATGTCTCAATAAAAACCTACAGTAGAGGTTAAACTTCGCTGAAATAATTGATTCTATCTAAGGGAAGCTTAAGAGGTGGAAATAGAGGAATTTAGCCATTTTTATTTAAGATCCAAATTGTCGAACCTTCCTTGTCCTAATGTTTATGTATGGCGCTAATCAGTTCAGAGAAGATGTGATTAAGGATGATTAGGAAGCCAATAGCTCTTCAGGACCCTTTCCTCCCCCCCCCTCCCCCCCCCCTCTTCCTGGACAAGTATCGCGGACTGGCATCACAAAAAATGAGTGTTTATAAATATATGACTGTGCTGTTTCTATACTACATTGTATCAGTTAGGTCAAAATAATTTTGATGAAAGAAACTCGGGTTCTTAGGATGTAAATGAACTATTATCAAATTTGGATATGCTTGTGTCACCCGTACAAAACCTGCCAGAAATAAATCAGGGAAGAATTTTATTTTATTGTGGTAATACCGGTGAATCAACTGATACTTATTGTAGTTGTCAGTAACATCACCTGTCTTAGTTCACTATTGAAATCGCAGTGGGTGGCACTTCGAAAGAAACTGATTAGACTGTGTGAAATAGAGTCGGAGCCAAGAAGTAGACGAATTTTCATGAATCCTTCCAAGAATCTGTTGGGGTTTCTTTTTCTCGCAATCTTGGATTTGACAAGTGGAGAAGGTCAGTTTCTAGCTTGGTTTCTATGAATGAACAAAAGTATTCATCCGCCATTCAAATTCTAGTAGTTGATGATCTCTTTTAAAGCATCAACGTTATAGGTTAGGTACCCTTTCCACAAAATCTAATTTTATCTTTTAGAGAAGTAATTTTTCACGTTTGCTTAGCTTTATCTGTTTGAGCTCGACTACTTTTTTCTCTTAAATTTACCACATTTTTCAATGAGTACATGTTCATCTATAGTGTTTATTTACACAGAAAAAAGAGTAAGGTGGAAACAAAAAACAAAAAACAAAAATAAAGGGAAGTAGTTTACTAAGTAAGAAAAGAACGAAAAAAAAAGTTAACAATGTTTTAATTTTCCCAGTGCAGCCGACATCATTCCTAATTAGTTATTTTTTTAGTCTTTTTATCCCTCTACCTGCCTAGAGAGGTTGCTGGAGAAACATTCCAATACCTGAATTAATAAGTCAAAAGTCATCATTGCAATCGCTATGATGGTTCCTAAACCAATCACTTTCGCCGTGTATGTGGATTTTGATAAGTTTTGATTTTATTATTGAGTTTATTGTATACATTAAAGTATATACTATGAGCAGTGATAGCTAGAAAATAAACTTAGACTAAGTATTTAGCTCATTTGTCAATACAAATAACACAAAAATATGAAAAATGCATTAATCGAGCTACATATTCTAGAAAATAAAATGCAGTTAAAAGGCACACGCGTCTTATTGAAAGGATATAAAATTTATTGATGTTAAAGTGGTTGTGAGCAACTACATTGAGAGGATTGCCTAATGTTTAAAACGACTTCTTGCGGGTTCATTTCTTTATTTTATTAGTCAGCCACCAAGTCCGTAAGATATCACTCTTACCAACTGAAACCTCATTGGCTGACTGTTTGGCTGGTGGCTGGTACCTTGACGGAAGGTATTTCCACTGTACTTCGATGCTTCGATACTCGGTTGAGTGGCTAGTTTGTTTGTCGGTCAGGTTGATCGATTGATTGGGTGATCCTTGGCTAATTATTAAAGAAGTTTGTTCCACAACACCTTTCATTTCTTCCAATGAGAAGAACTTGCAAAAGATTTTATAGTTTCCGAAACGCGATTTGAAATTTCGAAGAGCGACCCAACCGCAAGAAAATTCTCACTAGTGCTAAAAAGGCATCTATGGACGCCTTCAGTTTAAAAAACAGAGCTAGTACCATGGCCCCAAAAGCAAAGCCACAGCAATTTCTTGACTCTCTGCCATAGATATCCTAAGAAATCGCCCTCGATGTTTGCTCTTCAGCAGTTCAGCAGTTCAGCAGTACGAGTTTTCAGCATATTTAAAAATAATTTTGGAAAATTTGGTTTTAATTCTTTGGAATCTAAAAAACGAAATATGTCAGTACTTTTCTAAGAAGGGAGATTGAAATTAAATGTTTTGTAAGAGAAGGACTGAGCAGTGTTTCTTATATGAATTGTGTACCAGAGACCACGAGGTTGTTAAGTGTTTGTTTCAGTAGTCGAACTAGAGAGCGACTTTCTGTGTGAAGTGAATAGCATCTAAGTTGAAATTTGTGGATCAGTGTTAAAAATATTCCAGTGTCGGCTGTAAGATATTTCATTACAGTTTCAAGAGCATCGGTTTTTAAGAAAGACAGTTGTGTTTATATTTTGTAGATGAAGGATGTGCTCAATTGAGGATTGGGGATCAATCTTTTGGCGGGACAGTAAAATACTCTCCAATGAACTGGTTTGAGACACCAGCAGTTGTTAAATTTGAAGCAGGTAATGAATTTATCAAACATATCTATGAATTGTTGTTGTCATCCATATTTACCTTCCCTACGTAAGGATTTGATTGTCATTACTTGATGTTGGCGTTCAGCTGATCAGTATTGATAAAAGCATTAAATACGCAATGGGCAACAAGAAATACCTTTGAGCCGTTTGGCTTTTCAAATTTGGCGTTTCATATTTGAGAGTTCCGAAATATATTTGTCTGACATTCGCTTTGAAAGCTTTCGATATGCGGTTAAGTTGTTGACGCTATTTTATGTATTTTCATCTCATGGATGAAAAACATAGTTCTGATTTGGTAAAAATAGTTAATTTCTGTTTTTTCTCGAACCTTGAGGCTAGTCGCGGAAAAAAATCCAGTTTCTGTTTCTCTAGATGGTTCATCGCTCTATGAACTTTTTGGTTGTAATACCAGATTTCGGTCGATTCACAACCAAGAACAAAACAATCACAGCACCCAGTCATGACAAAGGCCAACTTCTTATTTAGTCAATGAGAAAAAAGGTGAAAACAAACAGTTCCTGAAACAGAGAGGAGACGAAGAAGTGATTAGCTTTAATTTAGCGAAATCTTCGAGGGTT